ACAGGGTGCCTGAATGAAACGTCATTGTACACCTAACCCTTAACTGTACCCCACAAAACCATAATAAAAAATACTGATTAATGAAAGAAAAAAAAACATGGACGTTTGCCCATAAGTAAATTTTTCAGGTAGTTCCTGTGATCGCTGACATGACCAGAGGGGATCTCCATGGTTCTTGATTTCTCTGATCATGAGAGGTTCTCCCTCACGAGTCTTTTCCCTGGTTCAGGCCTGGAATGGGCCACTTACCCCTGGGCATTGGTGGGAGGTGGTCTTTTGATACCATGGTTGGCATGCTGGCTCATATCCCCAATTTGAATAAAGAAATGGAGGCCACCATACTATGTGACCCTGAAGACATGATGCCAAATTTAAATGAAGCACGGTGCTACCAAAGTCACCTTGTAAGATTAAGCTGGCATTTCCCAGGAGTCCAGTTAGGCCTCACTGGTCAGGCCCATCCAACAAGGACACCCCAGGAAAGGGGGGGGCTGTGAGCCCTGGTGTCAGAGCCAGGGTCATAAGAAGGTTCTCAGGACAAAGTCGTCCATGGTCAATGGACTTGCCCTTTAAGAAGGAGGACAACCTCTCTCACCCCATGGTCTGAGCAAGAGATCAGATATATCAGTTCTGCAGAGAAGATGCCATCTATCCATTTACATGGAAATTCATTCCTAGGTGACACAAATGCCCTCCAATAAACTCATTCCAATGCCTGGGTGATGTTTAGATGGAAAACCAAAGCCAGCACACTGACAACACTCAGAAGTTTAGATTTCCAGGATGAAATCCAGAGTCATACAATGTCACCCATTCATGACTGAGGATGGGTACTGTTGGGACTCACGGCTAAGTAGACATCTGCAAGTACAGGAGCCTGGGCTGCCATATTTTCTGCTGCATGTAGAGACTGGGGCATGGCCAAGGGAGTGCTTTTTGTATGAGCCTGTGTTGGCTGTTCAGTGGAAAGACCAAGCTCACCATCCTTGGTGAGTGTCATCTTTCTCCTCCTTCCCTGCTTTCTTTGGCTTTTAGTCAATTTTGTACTATTTCTTGTTTTCTCTCTCTCTTGTGTCAGCCTGTGATCAAGTGTTCTTCCTGACCTCAAACCCTAGGAAAAGAATCTCTCTCCACCTTGTTAAGACACCTACTTGCCTCAGCTGGTCACCACAGCTTTTCAGCTTTGACCCTAGAGGCTGGTATTGGAAAGGTGGAACTGCTGAGACTACTCCTCTGTCTCTCTGTCTCTTTGTATGTATGTATGTTCGTATGTATGTACGTATATATGTCTAGTTGACAGGGTGGGGGTCATTGGGTCTCCAGGATTTGCTCTGTCTGGTTCTCCCCATCTGGGCCCTTTCTGCTTGTTTCACTTTATGAATGGAAACTGAGGACCCAAATTATGGGAAGAGGGAGAAAGGGAATTGAAGGAGTGACTGCTTGGGAGAATTTATTTGGTCCTGACTGTCAGTGCCACAGCTGGGGAACCACAGGTCCGAGGTTCATGGCCATGTCCCCTGAGTTGAGGGACTTTGGAGCCAGGACAGAAACAAGGAAGGAGGTAGAAGGGCCTCCTCAGATTTCCATGGGCTGGACAGAGAAAGATCTGTGCTGCCTTGTACTCAGGAAACCCAGCCAGAATGGAGGAAGGATAGAAAGGCTCTTAACACAAGGGAGCCAGTACAGAAGTAATCTATGGATGTGGAATTCAGGATGGTAGGTTACTGAGTCTCTACATGATGTTCCCCATAAAGCAGGATGCCCTGAGTTTACTGATCCCAAGGCACTATCCCAAGATCAAATATATAAATGCCACCGATCAGTCCTTAGATTCTTAACATGAACTCCAACAACTAAAGATCAGGATAGGCAGATAGACTTACTCAGATGACCAAAGACCCTACCGCAAAGGCCCCAGCGAAAAAAGAATTCATTAAAAACAGAGCCTTTAGGTTAGACCAAGAGTGTGCACAGCAAACATGTTGGGTAAGAAAAGCCCCCAGAATGAATCTAACAGGAGACTCAGAGAACTCAGGGGAAGACACACAGCTCCAGATAGACCAGGTCAGCATGTCAGGAGGAGGCAGGAGCAAGAAGCTGAGGGACCACTGTCTGTGCAGGAGTCCAAATTCTAAATTGTCTCAAAATAGGTCATGGGGAGGCAGGCTATGGGGTTCTTAGAATTGACAGAGAGTGGTTTTAGGACCCCTGACCCACTGTCCAGGAGACTTTGAACCATATGAAGGATTTTGAACTGGCATAGAGGGCCAGAACCTCCTTACACACAGAGGCCAAAGGTCCCCATGTGGAAACCAAGACTCTGAACTCCTGTTCTTCCCTGACCCTCACAGGTGAGTCCAAGGCCATCGCCTCAGTCACTCTGTACCTGCCATCTTCTGAGGCGCTCCCAACAAACAAAGCCACAATGGCATGTCTCATGAGCAACTTCTACCCAAGCAAGGTGACAGTGACCTGGAAGGCAGACGGCTCATCCATCACCAGGGCATAGAGACCACCAAGCCCTCCAAACAGAGCAATAGCAGGTATGCGGCCAGCAGCTACCTGATCATGACCCCTGACCAATATAGCTCACTGTAGATTGAGTTGCGAAGTCTCACGTGAAGGATGCACAGTAGAGAAGACAGTGGTTCCTGCATAGTAATTTTAGGCCCTGGTCCTCCATCAACCCATGGAAGCCTAGATCTTGGGAGCCCAGGGGAAGGGTTTTCCCCCATGCCAGGTTGTCAGTATTCTCCCTTCACTGAAAAACTCTCAACAAATATCCTCACTGTCAATCAGAAATTCCAGTTTTTGCTCATTTTTGTTTATATACTTTCTGTTGTACACTTAACCACATTCAAAGGTGAGCTGTATATTTTGATATGGGGACAAAGTATCCAAGAAAAGCACCCTGATGTTTCTCTGAGGGATACTTTTACTGTCATTCGACAACCACTGAATGTTCCAGAACAAGGAAAAGACCATCAGAAGGATCCGCATGCCCATTTTTCCCCACCTTACCCGTGTGCTTCTTGCAGCACTGTGTACACGACCACCTCTGGATACTAGGGGACAAAAACCCCTTCCATTCCCCAGGCCCACAAGAAAATGGCTGAGCCTGCTTTCCTGCAATCTTGGGCCCTCACAGTTGGCATCATCTTTCATTCAGGATGTCCTTCCATGTCCTCCTCCAAGGCCATATACTTTCACACTTGTAAATCTCCCCCATCAAAACCTTGAGCATTGCCCTCACCATAGGGGTGCATCCTGTCTATGTTTCCCCATGGTTTCTGTCTTTTGCCTCCACAGGTGCTCTGACTAGCCCTACTGACAGGACCTGACACCTAGACCCTGGTCACTCACCCTTAAAACCACCTGGGATACTATTGATTCACATGTCAACATGTGGTCCATTGGTATTCAAGGACACTAGTGGACGGCTGTCAGCTCAGCTCTCAACTGACTTCACCACAAGGATACAATATCCCAGTGACAGCAGATTGTCACCAAACTGATGCATTCAAATTCAATTGGTAGGTTCTGGTTTTCTACCATGACCTTAGGTATCAGCTGTTTCCCCTGCTTAAGAGATCAGAGGGAGATCTGATTGGTAACACAGACACACAACATAGTCACACAAATCACCTGCACATGCATCCATGTTGTGCATCTCCCTGGGAAGATCAGGATGGGTCCAGAGGAAGCAAGTCAGTGAGACCCAGGTTGGGAAGCGAGCAAAGAGAATCTAAGCATCTGCAAACTATGAGTTTGGGCCTGGGATCAGTTCTGACATGGAATGGGGCAGGATTTTCTGTCTGGTCCAAGAGTGGAACAGGAGACAAGGGCAGCCTGGAAGAAGGGATTCTGGAAAAGGAGCAGCAGACAGATCCCAGAGGTCAGCAGAGGCACCTGCTGTGTGGGACACTGATGAATAGGGCAAGATGACAGGTGTGTATCACAGGTGTCAGCTCTGAAGTTCTTGAACCCAGACAAGGATGGACACCCAGGCCTTGTGTGTCCAAGCCCTGCTCTGAAATGCCCATCTAGGATTAGGTGCCATGAGTGACCCTAGGCTGTGGTGTACTCTGTCCTGGTGACACTTGTGAGCACAGGAGACTGTGGAGTACCTATGGACAAGGGCACCTGTGTGTAATGAAGGAGCTCCTGGGGACAGCAGAGAGCCAAGCACACACACTTTTGTTGGGTTCATGGAAGAAAATGTACTGATAGTGGGATGCAAGACTTCTCTGCTCATCATGAGAGGTTCTGTGTGGACCATTCCAGCTCTAATTCTGCATGCCCAGCCTACAGGGTGTCCACAGCCGTATAGTCTCTGGATGGGAACATGAGCAGTAACCATAGGCAGCATCTTAATGGCAGTCGAGTGTAGGATGGGATCACACACACCCAGATCTTGTATTAGGGTCTGCGTCTGTGGGGTCTATGCAATCCTCTCCATATTCCTATAATATCCATTCCAAGCCCATCCTCTCATGACCTCCAGTGTGGAGGATATGGGGGCATCCAAGACCCTCTCAAAATTCCCAGATCCTCAAAGCCTTTCCAGCCTCATCATTCCAGTATTGTAACTTTTCTCACACTCTGCTCCATGACAATCAGACATCTGCTGACCCAGGCCACGCAGTCCCCTCCCAGGAATGCAGGGAGCTGGCAAACAGAATTCACACACTTCTCTTAACCTCTTATCTGATGGCAGTGAATGGATTTTTAAGTCCTGAAGGTGGAGATGGTCAGGTTTGTAAGAGACGACCCCTTCACACACCCCACATTCTAACAGCCCATGTAAAAATGTGGCTGGATTCTGGGCCTCCTAAGCAGCTGCAGAGGACTGGGTGGGGTATCATGTCAGGAGGGTTTGAGTTCAGGTCTGAGTCATGGTGTTATGTGGCTGGCAGAGGCACTAGGATGACCGTTCTTGGAGAGTCTCACCATTCTTTCTTTTTGAATTCAGGGTGAAATTTGAGGAAAATGTTTTTCTCTTTTCTGTTCCACCTAGGGCAAGGGTCTGAATTTTTCTGGGGTCTGCAACCCTAATCCCTCGAACCTATCTAATATTTTCAGACACGTGGTCAGGGCAAGAAAAGAACATCCCAGTGACACCCTCTTGCTCCCTGCATAGGGAAGCCTCTCTCTCTCTCTCTCTCTCTCTCTCTCTCTCTCTCTCTCTCTCTGTCTGTCTCCCTTTGGGGTACAATCTCCTCTGGACAAAGGTATGTTATAAACATCCCCTCAGAGTCTCCAGGCACAATGAAATGAGCAGAACAGGGGGTTGTGGATGGTACATGAGAACCACAAACTTGTGAAGGATGCTGGAGACAGCTAAACCTCTTCGATTCAGTCCTCTGTGGCTCTCAGATATAGGGTGGCTTTATGCAGCATTAGGAGAGGCCTTTGACTGGAGAAATGGAGAGATGGAGGTGAAAATGAGAGGGGGACAGAGATGAACAAAGAATGTCAAGAAAAAGTAATCTCAGTAATTGGGTCCCTCCTTTTCCCCAGGATAGGCAGGTAGACTTTGATAGTGTGGGTCTCGGAACTCTCAGGCACAAAGGTAGGCATATCACATACCACCTAAATGGAGTGACCAAAAAGCAGATGCTGAGGGAAGGGACTCTTGACAAGCATAGGTGAGAGGGAACACTCCAGGTAGAAGGATGTCCTAACACAGGTAGATTCCCGTAATAAGAAGACAACGGGGAACCAGCTCAGGACCAGCCTCCAACTCAAAATATTTCATACATGGAAGCCCTCAATTTCATGAACTCCCCAAGAACAGGGGCCAGCATTATACCACTGCCGAGAAGGGCTCTCTGTGGATAGGTGGGGTGGAATTTGCTCTGGGGGTACTAGGGTACAAATAGGCAACATATTTACTCGCCGAAAAGGAGCATTTTCTGAAGACAAAACAGATAGACATCTTTCTGAACAGATCCAAAGGAGTGCTGCCAATGGATCTGATCAACATAGAATTTCCTTTAGGAAAGGTGGGTCCCAGGACTTAGACCAACCAGTATCAGAAAAGCAACGGTGGGTAATGAGTAGTTGGGAACCTGTAGGAGCTAAATCAAAAGGGACCTGAGTTTCCTCAGTCCTTGGGCCCTCTGGCTCTTCTACATGAGCAGAATATACCCACCCTCCTTTAACAAGTTTCCTGAACTTGGCTGTACCAAACTCAAGATTGAGGTCAGCAGGCCCATGTGGACAAGAGGCAACTAACCTCCTGCCCCTCCAAATCCTGGAGGTCAGCTCCTAGGTAGCTCCCTACTTCACTCTGTTCATGCCACATCTGAGGTGATTCAAATCAGCAAGGTCACACTGGTGTGTCTCATGAGAGACTTCTAGCAGGCAACATAGTTGTGACCTGTAAGGTTGACAGCACCCCAATCACTCATAGCGTGGAGGTTACCCAACCCTCAAAACGGCAGCAAAAAGTACAAGCCAGCAGCTACCTAACCATGACACCCAACCTGAATAAGTCGAGAAGTAGCCACAGCTGCCAGGTCACACACAATGGGAGCATCATTGAGAAGACAGTTGCCCCTGCACAGAGTTATTTGGCCCTGGCCTACCCCAACCAATGGAATCTTAGAACTTGGCAGCCCAGGGGAAGAGTCCCCCTCCATGCCAAGTCATCAACCCTTCTCTCTGTACCTAATAAGCCCTCAATAAATATCATCATTGTCAATCAGAAATTCTCGTCTTTGCCCATTTTGGCTTGCACATTTTCCATTCCACATGTAACCATTCTCAAAAGTGAAAGGAACCCTTTGATCTAGTGATAAAGCATCCAGGAAAAGCACCTTGATATTTCTCTGAGGGATACTTTCTGTTGTCCTACCCCCACTGAATGTTCCAGAGAATATTTCTAGGTAAAGACCGTCAGAGGTCCAGACTGCCCATTCTTTCCCACTTTACCCTGTGCTTCCTGAGACACTGTGCAAAAGTCCCCATGAGGATACAGGAGGACAAACATTCCTTTCATCCCAGTGGCCCCAGAATAATGTCTGTGCTTTCTTCTCAGTTTTCCTGAGTACTCAGAGTCGACATGATCCTTCTTTCAAGGTGTCCTTCCATCTCTCCCTCCAAGGTTATATACATTTCTACACTTATCTATCTCACCCCATCAAAATTCAGAGTTCCGCCCTTTCAAAAGGGACCCGCCCTGTACCTGTCTCCACATGACCCCTGACCTCTGCCCCACAAGCCCTCCCTGTGGACTCAATAACTGAAACTCACACCTGGACCCTGATCACTCACTCCATAAACCCCCCTGAAGCATATTGTTATGCACATCACTAAGTGGACTAGCTGTATTCAAGGACACTGTGGGACAGCAATCAGCTCTGTTCTTCACTAATTCCATCACAAGGACTTAATATCCCAGTGACCACAAGTTCTCCACAGGCTGATGAGTTCAAAGTCAGTGACAAGTTTCGCAGTTCTACCTTGGGTGTCAACTGACTCCTCCTCTTAAGAACGCAGTGGGTGTCTGACCTTTAACACACATACATACACAAATCGATTGTGCGCACAATCATGTTGGTCAGCAGTCTTCTAGGGTAGATCAGGAAAGGCTCAGGTGGAAGGCATTGCAGTGAGACTCATGTTGGAACACAAGCCAAGAGAATACAGGAATCCATAGTCCCTGAGCTTTGGACCTGTGGGGCTGGCCCTGACATGGAGGAGGGGCAGGATTATTTGTCCTGGCTGAGAGTGAGACAAGAGAGGAGGAGCCTTGAGGGAGGAATTCTGGAAAACAAGTAACAGGCAGATCTCAGATGTTAGTGGAGATACCTCCTGTGGGGGACACTGTTGTGAGGGCAGGGTGGCAGGTGTGTGTCACAGGTGTGAGATCTGCAGGTGATGAACACAGACCAGAAAGAACACCTAGGAATTTGTGTTCAAGAACTGCTCTGAACAATTCCATCCAGTGTACGTTACCATGTGTGTCCCCAGGCTATTAAGTACTCAGTCCTGGTGACACTTGTGGACATGAGTGCCAGTTTGTAACAGAAGGATCTTGAGGGGAAAGAGGGACTTCTTCTCTCATAGAGTCCTTGGAAGTATCTCTACTGGCAGTGGAACCCATGGCCCCTCCTACAACATGGAGAGCTCCATGTGGGTCATTTCAGCACTAATCCAGCACACCCATGCTCCAGGGATGCTGCTGTTTGTGGACTATGGAGGGGACCATGAGAGGTGATCATACACTGCATCTTCAGGACAGTGGAGGTTAGGATGGGGGTGCTCAAACTCAGATCGTGCAGTGGGGTCATTAGCCCTGGGTCAATGTAACTTTCCCCACACCCCGCGATTCATATTCCAAGCTCTTTCTGTCATCACTTCCACTGGATGATAAGGGGGGCATCCAGGACCCGCCCCATCCCCACAGTTCACAGCTCCTCAAACAGGTCCAAAGTTCATCATCACTGGGTTGTAACTTCTCTTACCTCTTCCTTTATGGTATTTGGACACCAACTGACCCAGGCCGTGCAACCCCATCCCAGGAATGCAGTAGGTTTGGAAAGGATTTAACACACCTCTCAAGCCTTATCATGATGGGGATAAATGGATTTCTAAACACTGGAGAAAGAGATGGGCTGGTGTGGGGAGATGACCCATTCAACTGCCCATGTTAAGAGGAGGCTGAACCCTGAGTCTCATAAGCAGCTGTTGAGGGACTGGGTGGGGTCTCAGGAGGGTTTGTGTACGGGGCTGAATCGCAGTGTGGTGTATTCGGCAGTGGCACACAGTTGACCGTCCTTGGTGAGTCTTCACTTTCTATTTTCACTGGGGTTTCAGGGTGAAATTTTGGGGAAATGCCTTTCTCCTTTCCTTTGGTTCCAGGGCAAGGGTCTGAATCTCTCAGGGTTCTGCAATTCTAACCCCTCCAGCCTGCTCACAAGAGAGCTCTCTCTCTCTCTCTCTCTCTCTCTCTCTCATTCTCTCTCTCAGACTTTCTCCTTTGGACTCTTGGGATGTTCTACACCCTCCCTCATAGTTTCTAGGACCTCAGGGACCAGTGGAACAGGGAACTGATGTGGGGGCACCAGGAATCTGAATTTGTGAATGATGCTGGGGACAGCTCAGCCTTCCTGGGTTCTTTCCTCTGTGGGTTCCAGCTATGGGGAGGCATTACACAATGTGAGGACAGGACATTGGAGACATGGAGAGATGGGGGAGAAGTGAGAGAGTGACAGAGATAGAGGAAGAATATCCCATGAGAAGGTGACCCCGGGGAGTTGGGTTCCTCCCTCCCAGGGCAGACTGGCTGCTTTTGACTGTGTGACTCTCAGGACTGTAAGGCACAAAGTTTGGTTTATCAGCACTTCAACAAAGAGTAGCAACCCCAAAGTAGATACTGAAGGTAGAATCTTCTGATAGGAAAGCTGACAGGGACTCTCTAAGTAAAAAAAAATGTCCTAGGACAGCTAGATCCCACAATTACTTCTGATAAGGAGACAGGCTGACCATCCTAGGTGAGTGTCCTGTTTGTTCTTTTCCCCTGCTTTCTCCAGGGTTTAGGTCAATTTTTTAGTTTTTGTTGTTTTTCTGTCTTCTGTCAGCCTGTGCTCAAGCATTCTCCCTGACCTCAAACCTTGGGGCAATAATGTCCCCCGACCTTGTTCAGGTACCTACTTGCCTCAGATGGTCAATACAGCACTTCACCTTTGACCCCAGAGACCAAGAGTTGACAGCGTTAACTACTCAGACTGCTGCTCTGACTCTGTCTCTTTGCTTGTATGTATGAATGTATGTATGTATGTATGTATGCCTGGGTAACAGGGGGTCATTGGGCCTCCAGGATTTGCTCTGTCTTGTACTCCCCATCCTGGTGCTATCTGCCTGGGTCACATTGTGAAGGGAAACAGAGGATCCATATTATGGGAAGAGGGAGCAAGTGAATTGAAGGAGTGAACACTTGGGAGACTTTATTGAACCATGAACTTTCAGTGCCACAGCTGTGAGCCACAGGTCAGAGGCTCATGGCCATGTCCCCTGGGCTGACGAACTGGATCCAGGGCAGAAACAAGGTAGGAGGTGGGAGGACTTTTCCAGGATTCCATGGGCTGCCACAGAGAAAGTCCTGAGTTGGCCTTGAATTCAGGAAACCCAGTCAGGAGGGAAGAAGAGGAAGGTTCTGGACACAAGGGAGTCAGCAGAGTAGTCATCTAAAGACACAGAATTCAGGAAGGTGGGTTACTGGGTCTCTGCAAGATGTACCCCAAGAAGCAGTATTCCCTGAGTTTACTGACCCAAAATATGATCCCAAGACCAAGGCATAAATGTCACCAATCAACCCATAGACATAGGGACTCTTAACATGAACTCCAACAACTAAAGACCATGACAGGCAGATAGACTCACTGGATGATCAAAGGCCCTACTGCAGAGGCTCCAGGGGAAAAAAATTGAGTAAAAACGTAGCCTTTAGGTTAGACCCAGATCATTTACAGCAGACATGTAGCACAAAGAAGCCTCCAGAGTGAATCTAACTAGAGACTCAGAGAGCTCAGGGGACAGACAGATATCTCCAGATAGACCAGATCAGAAAAAATTCAGGAGGAAGCAGGAGAAGGTAACTGAGGGCCCGCTGCTTAGCAGGAGGTCAAGTCTAGAGGGTTTAAAATAGGTCATGGGCAGGCTGGCTCCGGGATTCTTAGTAATGACAAAGAGTGTTTTTATGAAAACCTGACGAAGTGTCCAAGAGACACATTAGCCATATGTAGGGTCTTGAATTGGCATAGATGGCCAGAACACTTTTCACACACAGAGGCTATGGCTTCCCATGAGAAAATCAAGACAATGAAATCCTTTTCTTCCTTGACACTCACAGGTCAACCCAAGGCCTCCCCCTCAGTCACTCTGTTCACGCCATCCCCTGAGGAGCTCCAAACCAACAAAGCCACACTGGTGTGTCTCATCAATGACTTTTACCCAAGTGTATTGACAGTGAACTGGAAGGCAAACGGATCCCCCGTCACTCAGGGTGTGGAGACCACCATGCCCTCAAAACAGAGCAACAACAAGTATGCTGCCAGTAGCTATCTGAGCTTATCACCTGAAGAGTGGAGACGTCAGGGTTCATACACCTGCCAAGTCACGCATGAAGGAAGCACCACGGAGAAGACAGTGGTCCCTGCACAGTGTTCTTAGGTCCTGGACCTCCCCCATCCCAGGGAGTTTAGAGCTTGGGAGCCCAGGGGAAGATCTTCCTCCATGCCACGTTGTCCGCCTTACTCCCTGCACTCAATCACCCTCAATAAATATCCTCACTGTCAAGCAGAAACTCAAGTCTTTGCTCATTTTTGTTTATATACTTTCCATTCTACATTTAACCATATTCAAACAAGAACAGAATCCTTTGATCTGGGGACAAAGCAGTCATGAAAAGCACCCTGATGTTTCTCTGAAGGATACTTTTACTGTCTTTTGACAACCTCTGTATATTCCAGAGCAAAGCAAAAGCCATCAGAAGGACCCAGGCCTGTCCATTCTTTCCCACTCTCCCCTGTTCTTCCTGCAACACTGTGCAAAATCCACCTCTGGGCACTAGGGGTCAAACACTTCTTCCAGTCCCCTTGTTTCCAGGTGAATGACTGAGCTCCCATGCCTGTTATCCTGGGCCCTCACAATGTGCAATGTCTTTCATTTTGATGTCCTTCCTTCTCCTCCTCCAAAGTCATACACTTCCTCACTTGTAAATCACCCCCTATCAAAACTTGAGAACTGCCCTCACTATAGGGCACCACACTGCTTCTGTCTCCCCATGGTTTCTGCATTTTGTCCCCATAGGCCCTCCCTCTAGCCCTCACTCACAGGACCTCACACCTGGACCCTCGTCACTTACCCTACAATCCCTCTGGGAGTCTAATGTTTCTCATGACACTGGGTGGCACAGTTGTATTCAAGGACACTAGAGATGAGCAGTCTGCTCTGCTCTCCCCTGACTCCTCACAAGGACATGCAGTCCCAGTGACTGCAGGTTGTCAACAAACTGATGAGTTCCTAGTCAACTGGCAGGGTCTGGAGTTCTACCATGATCTCTAATGTCAGCTGACTCCTCCTCTTAAGAATTCAGTGGGATGTCTGATTGATAAGACACACAATTCACCTGCACATGCATCCATGTTGGGCATCTACCTGGGAAAATCATGAAAGGTACAGAGGAAGCAAGTCAGTGAGACCTAGGCTGAGACACCAGCAAAAAGAAGCCAAGCATCTGCAGTCTCTGAGCTTTGGGCCTGCATATGGCACTGACGAGGGGGAGGGACGTGATTTTCTGCCTGGACCAATAGTGAAACAGGAGACAAGGGGAGCCTTGAGGAGGGGATTTTTGAAAAGAAACAGCAAGCATATCACAGAGGTCAGCAGAGGCACATACTGTGTGGGATACTGTTGGGTATGGCAGGGTGGCAGGTATGTATCACAGGTGTCAGCTCTGCAGGTGTAAAACCCAGACAACAATAGACACCTAGGCCTTGTATGTCCAAGTCCTGCTCTGAGAATGTCCATCCAGAACTAGGTGTCATGAGTTACTCTGCGTTGTGTTGTACTCTGTCCCAGTGACACTTGTGAGCACAGGAGGTTGATTACCCATGGAAAAGGGCTCCTGGGTAACAGAGTATCTTGCAGGGAAAGGAGAGACCCAAACACACACACACACACACACATACACACACACACACACACACACACATTTGGAGGATTCACGGAGGAAAATGTACTAACAATGGGACCAAGGCCTCTCCTCCCACCAAGAGAAGTCCCATGTGTATCATTCCAGCTCCAATCCAGCATGCCCAGCCTGCAGGGGATGTGTTGCTCCATGGCTCTGGAGGGGAACGTGAGCAATAACCATAAACTTCATCTTTGGGTCACTCAAGCTTAGGATGGGATCACTCAATTCAGACCCTGTATTGGGGTCTGCATCAATGGGGTCAATGCATTCTTCCTCATACCCCCATAATTCCCAATCCACCCCCATCCTGTCATGACCTCCAGTTTAGAGGATATTGGGGCATCCAGGACCATCTTCACAGTTCCCCTTTCCTCAAAGCCTTCCCAGATTCATCACACCAGTGTTACAAACTCTCTCACCACATCCTCCGTGGCAATCAGACACCTGCTGACCCAGGCCACACAGTCCCCTCCCAGGAATGCAGAGAGCTATGAAATGGGTTCCACACACATTTCTCAACCTCTACAGTGATGGCAGTAAATGGATTTATAAGTCCTGAAGGAACGAAGGTCAGGTGTGAGAGATGACTCCTTCACACACCCCTGACTCCACTAGGCAATGTGAAAAAGAGGCTGGATGCTGGACCTCACAAGCAGCTGCAGAGGGACTGGGAGGGGTGTCATGTCAGAAGGATTTGTGGTTGGGGATGAATTATGGTGTTATGAGTCTGGCAGGGGCACCAGGGAAACATCCTCGGTGAGTTTTACCTTTCTTTATTTTTGGATTCAGGGTGAAACTTGGTGAAAATGTTTTTCTCTTTTCTGTTATAAGAAAAGGGTTTGAATTTCTCTGGGGTCTAAAACCCTCACCCTAACCTGTCTCATATTTTCAGACACTTGGTCAGGACAGGAGAAGAACACCCCAGTGGCTCCTTCCTGCTCCTGGCACAGTGAATTCCCCCCCATCTGGGGAACATTCTCCTCTGGACTCTGGGGCCTTCTACACCTTCCCTCAGAGTCTCCAGGCCCTGAGGAATCAGCAGAAGAGTGGCCAGTGGCTGGTGTACCAGAGCCATGAACATCAGAACTATGCTGGAGACAGCCAAGCCTCCCGGGTTCAGTACTTTGTGGGTCTCATCTATGGGGTAGCTTTCCATAGCATGAGGGGAGACCTTTGACTGGAATCATGGAGAGATGGAGGGGAAAATGGGAGGGTGACAGAGATGAAAGAAGAATGTCCTGTGAAAAGTGACCCTGGGAGCTTGGTCCCTCCTTCTCCCCAGGACAGGAAGGTAGCTTTTCATAGTGTGGGTCTTGGGACTCTCAGGTACAAAAGTAGACACATTCACATCCCAATAAAAGGAGGGACACAAAAGCAGATGCTGAAGCAAGGGACTCCTGACAGCCATAATGTGAGGGACTCTCCAGACAGAAGGATATCCTAGGACAGCTAGATTCCCGGTATAACTTATGAAAAAGAGACAACTGGGGAAAAGCACAGGCCCAACATCAAACACAAAATATTCAACATGAAAGCCCTCAAGTTCCTGGACTCCCCAGGATTATACCTAGCCCAGAAGGGGTCTCTGTGGGTAGGTAGGGTGGGATTTGCAGCGGTAGTACCATGGTACTGATAGGCAGCACATCCACTTCCCCAAAAGAAGGAAATTCTGATGACAGAACTGACAGACACCTTTCTGAACAAACAAAAGGAGTGCCCCTAAAGGAGATAATCAGACAGAGAAGTTTCCTGTGGACAGCTGGAATTCACAGCTTACACTTGCCAGTATCAGGATAGCAAAGGTGGGTATTAGAAGGTAGGAATCTATAGGAGAAGCTCCAGCCAAAAAAGAGCAGACTTTCCTCAATCTTTTGGACCTCAGGCATCTTCTGTCAGGAGGTGAGTATCCCACCCTCCTGTAGCAAGATTCCTAGCCAGGCCTGAGCCCAACTAAAGACTGAGGTCGGAAGGCCCAGGTGGATACCAGGCATCAAACCTGCTTCCCTTCCCCAACTGCACAGGTTATTCCAAAGACCGGCCCCTCATCCACTCTGTTCACTCTTCTGAGGAGATTCAAACCAACAAGACCACACTGGTGTGTCTCATGAGTGACTTCTATCAGTCACCGTGTCTGTGACCTGTAAGACACACAGCACCCCCAAAATTCAGAGCAGGGCGACCACCTAGTCCTCTGAACAAAGCAACAACAAGTACGTAGCCAGCAGCAACCAGACCATGACACCCGACGTGTACAAAGCTAGCAGCAGCTACCGCTGCCGTGTCACACACATTGGGAGCACTGTAGAGAAGAGAGTTGCCCCTGTACAGTTTTCTTTGCCCTCCCCCACCCAAGGAATCTTGGAGCTTGGCAGCCCAGGGAAAGTGTCTCCACCCATGCCAAGACATCAACCCTTCTCCCTGCACCCAATAAACCCTCAATAAATATATCCTCATTGTCAATCAGAAATTCCAGTCTTCGCACATTTTTGCTTACACATTCCATTCTACATTTAACACTCCTCAAAAGTGAAAGGAACCTCTTGATCTCGTGACAAAGCAGCCAGGGAAGTACCCTGGTGTTATCTGGAGGGATTATTTCTGTCATCCTACCCCCACTGACTATTCCAGTGAATTTTTCCCAGGAAATACCCTCAGAAGTAACCAAACCTGCCAATTCTTTCCCACTTCTCCCTGTAATTCCTGAAATACTGTGCACAAGACCTCCTCTGGCTACAGGGGTACAAACATGCCTTCCATTTCCGAACCCCACGATAATGTCTGAGTTTTCTTCTCAATTATCCTGAGACCTCACAGTGGACATGATCCTTCTTTCCAGGTGTCTTTCCATCTCTTCCTCCAAGGCGATATGCACTTCTCTGCTTGTAAATCTCACCCATCAAAATCTAGAGTTCTGTCCTTTCAATAGGGACTCACCCTGCTCCTTTCTCCCCATGACCCCTTTACCTCTGCCCCACAGGCCTTCTCAATGACTGAAACTCACACATGGAACCTGATCACTAATTTCACAAAACTTCCTCAAAGTCTATTTTTATACAAATCACTAATTGACTAGCTCTTTTCAAGGGCACTCAGGGGCATCGATCAGTTCTGCTCTTCACTGATTCCATCATAAGGATGTAATATCCCAGTGACAACAAGTTGTCAACAGGCTGATGAGTTTAAAGTCAGTGACAAGTTACACAGTTCCATACTATATCTTCAGGACAGTGGAGCTATGATCAGCTGAATTCTCTTCTAAGAATGCATTGGGGGATCTGATCTTTAACACACACCTACACACAAATCACCTGTGCACATGTCCATGTTTGTTGGCAATCTCCCTGGGAGGATCAGGAAAGGCTCAGCTGGAAGACACTGCAGTGGGACTCAGGTTGGCACACGAACAAAGAGAAGCCAGGGATCTGCAGTTCCTGAGTTTGTGCCTGTGGGACTCTCACAGACAAGGAGGAGGGGTATAATTTTTTGTCCTGGTCAAGAGTGAGACAGGAGACAGGAGGGAGGGATATAAGCAACAGGCAGATCTCAGAGTTTAGTGGAGGCACCTCCTGTGGGGAAAACTGTTACAAGGGCAGGGTTGCAGCTGTGTTTCACAGGTGTAAGCTCTACAGGTGATGTGCCCAGACAGGATGGAGACCTAGGCCCTGTGTGTTCAAGCATTGCTCTGAATATGCCCATCCAGTGTAGCATGCCATGTGTGTCCCCACGCTGTTGTGTACTCAGTCCGGGTGACACTTCAGAATACAGGAGGCTGTGTAGCACCCATGGACATGAGTGCCTGTGTGTACTCGATGGAGCTTGAGGGGACAGGAGAGACCTCTCCACTCAAAGAGATCCTGGAAGAAACTCTACTGGCAATGGAACCCATGATCCTTCCTGCAACATGAGGAGCTCTATGTCGGCCATTCAAGCACTAATCCAGCACTCCTATACTTTAGGGATGCTGCTGCTTTGTGGACTCTGGAGGGCAACATGAGGGGTGATCATACACTATATCTTCAGGAAAGTGGAGCTTAGAATGGGGGAGCTCAAACTCAGAACTTGCAGTTGGATCAGTATCCCTGGGACAGTGGAACTCTCCCCACAAGGGTCTGAATCTCTCTGGGGTCTTCAACCATAACCCCTCCAGCCTGCTCACAGGAGCTCTCTGTCTCTCTCTCTCTCCTCCTCCTCCTCCTCCTCCTCCTCTCTCTCTCTAAGACATTCTTTTTTGAGCCTTTGAACTCTTGGGATTTTCTACTCCCTCCATCAGACTATCTGGGCCCCCAGACCAGTAAACAGGGAGCTGTTGTTGGATTAATTCCTATTCCCTCGCAATTCCTATTCCAACCCCTTCCTGTCATGACTTCCAGGGGCTAATATGAGGGCATCCAGGACCCTCCCTACACTTCCCAGCTCCTCAAATAGGTCTCAAATTCATCATCCCTGTGTTGCAACTTCTCTTACCTCTTTCCCCATGGTACTTGGGCAACAGCTGATCCAAGCCATGCAGCCCCCTCTCAAGAATGCAGTGGGTATGGAAAGTATTATACACACCTCTCAACTCTTATCATGATGGTGATAAATGGATTTAGAAACCATGGAGAAAAAGATGGGCTGGTGTGAGGGAGGCAACCCATTCAACCTCCCTTGATTCCACCTGCCCCTGTGAAAAGGAGGCTGAACGCTGGGCCTTATGAGCAGCTGTGGGGGACTGGGAGGGTCTCAAGAGGTTTTGTGTGTGGAGCTGAATCATGGTGTGTTTTCTGTGGCCATAGTAACCAGTTGATGGTCCTTGATGAGTCTTCCCTTTCTATCTTCATTGGGAATTCAGGATGAAATTTTGGGGAAATGGTTTTCTTCTTTCATTCTAGGGCATTTTTCTGCATCTCTCTGGGGTCTTCAGCCATAACCCCTCCAGTCTGCTCACAGGATCTCTCTCTCTTCCCCCCAGATATTCTCCTTTAGACTCTTGGGATATTCTTCTCCCTCCATCAGAATATCCAGGCCCCCAAGGACCAGTAAACAGGGAGCTTGGGTTGGAAAATCAGGGTCATGAATGTGGGAAGGATGTTGGGGACAAGACACCCTTCCAGTATTCTTTCATCTGTTGGTTCCAGCTATGGGGAGGCTTTACACGGTGGGAGGAGAGGCCTTTGACTGTACACATGGAGAGGAGGTAGAAATGGGAGAGTGACAGAGATGCAAGGAGAATGTTCTGTGAGAAGGTGACCCCTTGGTGCTGTGATTTCCCTCCCCCAGGACAGGCCGGTTGCTTTTGGCAGTGTTGCTCTCAGGATTCTAAGGCACAAAGGCTGTCATATCTGCATCCCAATGAAGATGAGGGACCCCAAATGGGACGCTGAAGGAAGGGACACCTGATAGGCAAAGTGACAGGGCCTCTGTGGATAGAAAGATGTTCCAGGACAGCTAGATCTCAGGATTAGCTTCTTAAAAGGGGACAGGGTAACTATCTTAGGTGAGTGGCTTCTTTCTCCTCCTTCCCTGTCCTCTCCAGGGTTTGGTTCAATTTTCTACTATTTGTTGTTTTCTCTCCATCTTCTGTCAGACTGTGGTCAAGCATTCTCCCAGACCTCAAACCCTGGGACAGGAATCTCTCCCCACCCACTCAGATACCTACATTCCTCAGATGGTCACTACAACCCTTCACCTTTGACCCTAGAGGCCAGGAGTGGACAGGGTGAACAATTGAGACTACTCTTACCTTTGTTTGTATGTATGGATGGATGCATTGACTGGATGGATGGATGGATGGATGGATGGATGGATGGATGGATGAATGGATGGAAGGAAGGATGGATGTCTCGTTGTCAGGGAGCCTTGGGTCTCCAGGATTTGCTCTGTCTACTCCTGCTCATCTGGCACCAATCTGCCTGGTTTACATTATGAAGGAAAACAGAGGACCTATCTTATGGGAAATAGGAGAAAGGGAATTGAAGGAGTGACCACATAGGAAAATTATTGGACCCTGACAGAACAGGAAAAAGTAGGAATTGGTAGGGGCTCTCCAGGTTTCCATAGGCTGCCATAGAGAAATTCCTGAGTTGTCTTGTACTCAGGAAACCGAGACAAGAGGGAAGAAGGAGAGGAAGGATCTGAAAACAAGAGAGTCAGTAGAGAAGTCATCTAAAGATGTGGAATTCAAGAAGGTGGGTTACTGGGTCTCTGTAGAATGTACCCCAAGAAGCAGAATTCCTTGAGTTTACTGATCCCAAGGCATGAACCTGAGATCAAAGATATAAATGCCACCAATCAATCCGTAGACAGAGGGACTCTTAACATTAACTCCAACAACTAAAGACCAGGTCAAGCTGATAGACTTACTCAGATGATCAAAGGCACTACTGCAGAGACTCCAGGGACAAAAGAATTGGATCAAAACAGAACCCGTAGGTTACGCCCAGAACATGCACTACAGACATGTTGAGTAAAAAAAGTCACCAGACTGAATCTAACAGGAGACCCTGAGTTCTCAGGGGACAGACAGATAGCTCCAGATAGACCAGGTTAGGATGTTGGGAGTAGGCAGCAGGAGGTGGCTGGGGCCTGCTGTCTGTGCAGGAGGCCAAACCTAGAGGGTCTCAAAACCTCTTGGCCATGGGCAGGTAGGCTCCCAGGTTCTTAGAACTGACAGAGAACACCTGACCACCTGGGTCAGGAACACCTGACCCACTGTTCATGAGACACATTGACACATATGAAGGGTCTTGAAGTGGCATACATTGGCAGGCCCTGCCTCACATACAGAGGCCAAAGCTATCCATGGGAAAACAAAGACTGAACTTCTATTCTTCCCTAACCCCCACAGGTCAGTCCAAGACTGCCCTCTCAGTCACTCTCTTCCCACCATCCTCTGAGGAGCTCAAAACCAACAAAGCCACACTGGTGTGTCTTGTCAATGACTTCTACCCAGACACGATTACAGTGGCCTGGAAGACAGACGACTAGCTATCACTCAGGGCATTGAGACCACCAAGTCCTCCAAACAGGGCCACAACAAGTATGCAGCCAGCAGCTATCTGATTTGTTATCTGACAACATGACAGTGGAGACGTCATGATACATACAGCTGCCACGTCATGCATGAAGGAAGCACCGTGGAGAAGACAGTGGTCCCTGCACAGTGTTCTTAGACCCTGGTCCTCCACTGACCCATGGAAGCCTAGAGCTTGGGAGATCAGGGGAAGGGTCCTTGCCCAGGCCAGGTTGCCAACCTTTCTCCCTGCACACAAAAACCCTCAATAAATGTCCTCATTGTTAAGCAGAAATTCCAGTCTTTGTTCATTTTTGTTTATATACTTTCCATTCTACATTTAACCGTATTCAAAGGTGAACAGAATCCCTTGATGTGGGGACAAAGCAGCCATGATAAGCAACCCACTGTTTCTCTGCGGGATATTTTACTGCTATTCAACAACCACTGAATGTTCCAAACCAAGGGAAAGACCATCAGAAGGACCCAGGCCTGCCCATGGTTTCCCACCTCTCCCCTGTCATCGCTGCCCCACTGTGTATAAGTCCACTTCCGGGTACTAGGGGCAAACTCTCCTTCCATTCCACTGGTCCCTGGGAGAATGGCTGAACTCCCTTCCCTGTTATCTAGGACCCTAACAGTGGGCATCATCTTTCGTTCAAGATGTCCATCCACCTCCTCCTCAAAGGCTATACATTTTCAAACTTGTAAATCTCACCTAGAGACAGGTGACCAAGACAGTTGCCTATTACACAGAAACAAAAAGCTCACTGGAGAAACAGATGCTTTTATAGAAATTCCCATGGCAGTGGAATCCCATAGAGTAGAAACAAACCTAGGTTAATAACTGGGACTGTGGAAAGGGCCTCACTAGAAATCCACAGTCTACTGGACCACCTGGAATCAAATCCCAGATACTGAAACCCCTTCCACCAGGCAGTCCAGAGGAGTCCTTGTGGGAAGGCAGGGCAGGGACTGCATGGATGGGGCAGGAGGTGTGTGGGCAAGAAACTGCCTCCCTGTGAGAGAGAAGAGCCTGGACCAAAGTAGGCAAACATTTTCACAAACAAATGAGCACAGAAAAACTAATGGGAGATGTTCAGACAGACACACCAGGACAGACAGAAACTCGAGGGGATTTGGTGTCCCATAGTCAGTTTCACCCAAGTTTGGGGGTACAGTGGCGGGGATTGGTGAGTGATGAGCAATAATGATAAAGAAGCAGATCCAAGGACTCCTGTAACTTTTAAGAGTTGGGCACAAGGGAATCTTACACAGGAAAGTGAGTTTCCCAATGCTCCATTGACCTGACCTCAGTCTAGCAAGGGTCCAGCCAGAGGTACCTGTTCTGAACATTAGCCCTGTACCCATTTCAAGACTGACATCAGAAGCCCCATGATAGACATCATTCCTCTGACCTCCCGCCACCCCCCCCCCCATTCCCCACAGGTCAGCCCAAGGCTGCCTCCTAGTCACTCTGTCACAGCTCTCCTCTAAAGAGCTCCAAGACAGCAAGATCAAACCTCTGGGACTAACAAGTGACTGCTACCTAGGCATCATGACGGTGACCTGGAAGGCAGACAGCAACCCTGCCACCCAAGGTGTGGAGGCCACCAAGTCCTCCAAACAGAGAAAAGACAAGTATGTGGTCAGCAGCTACCTGCCCCTGACACCTGAACAGTGGTCATCGTGCAGCAACTATAGCTGCCAGGTAACGCACAAAGAGAGGACTGTGGAGAAGACAGTGGCCCGTGCACGGTGTCTTTAGGCCCCATTTCTGCCCCCACACTGGAGCCTAGAGCTTGGGAATCCGGGGAAGTATCTCTCTCTAACTCCAATTGATAGAGTCCGACTCTCCACACCCTATAAACCCTCAACAAATATCCTCATTTTCAATCAGAAATCCTTTGCCTCTCATTATTTTTTACCTCATGTTTACTTTGTAATCTCCCTGGATTCTTTCTGCAGTGTGGGGTCTACTGGCACCCAGGGGCTAGTAGCCCAAGGTCAAATAATAATATGCTCCTGCAGACATCATTCTAGGAGGGGTCTTACTCAACCAGATTTCTTTTTCCAAACTCTCCACACAGAGAGTTAGCCTGGCATATCTTGGACCAGGTGGGTCTCACATTCTCCAGATTCTACATCCTCTCAACAGAGGCCTAACAATATATCATCCAGCATCTCTAATGTGCCATTGGTGTCTAGACACATCTCTGGAGTAAAGGGAGTGCCAGAAGAAGTCCCTGGTGTGAGGTCCTGGTGTCTCATCCCTCCTCCCAGCAAGACTCTGATGTTCATATCACTCCAAGTCATTGCAAACCTCAGTGGAAGAATAAACAATTTAATAATAATCAAAACAGCTAGTGAGGCTCTCATCAAATGCCTTGTGAATCATACTGTGGATATTGGGGGTGCTGCTGTTCATCTGTGGTTTGTAATTGAGTTTTGCTGAGGATTAAAGACTTGATACTGTGATTGGTGATTATTAGGTAGACCTGCTCCACCTGGAGTAATCTGCCAAATCGCCCCAACATATCCTGCAGGGCAGAAATTGCAGGAACTTAGGGTTGGTCCTGATACCTTCCCAGGGTCGAGATGCAGCCACTGCCCCCCACCCCTGTAGGAGTCCAGTGCTGCTCTTAGGCTCTGCTTTCCTGCAAAGTTGTTTTAGCATCACAGCTTACTGGTCTCAGGCTGGACACTGCCAAATATGTTCCCGGAATGACTGGCGACTTCCAAAAAACGCTCTCATGTCGGGTCCTCATTCTTTATTGGTGTTAGCTGGTTGGATGGTCAGTTCCTTCATATTTTGGATGTGAAGAAGTTTGGAGAGCGAATGCTCCCATCACCTTCTTCTTGGGAGGTGGCGGTGTTTGTGTGGAGAAGGGCAAGAAAGCACATAGGGAAATAGGAAAGAGAGTAAATGTAGATGGTTCCACATTGTTCAACTCTTTACAAACTGGCCATCTGGTGTGCTGCTATCCTACAGAGTGAACATTTAAAGTGAGAGCTAAGGTGAGCTCCATCATGTAAGTGGATCTGCCCTTGGCATTCATTGTTACTGTGTTTCACGATGGTGACAATGCAGCTGCAAAACATGGACCGTTGCCCACAAGGAAACTTTTCAGGCAGCTCCTGTGATCGCTGACAACCAAAGGGGACCTGCATGGTTCTTGGTTTCTCAGATCATGAGAGGTTCTCCCTCACGAGTCTTTTCCCTGGTTCAGGCCTAGAAGGGGCCAATTACCCCTGGACTTTGCTGGGAGGTGGTCTTTTGACACCATTTTTGGCATGCTGGCTCATATCCTCAATTTTAATAAAGCAATGGAGGCCACCATCCCATATGACCCTGAAAACATGATGCCAAATTTAAACAAGGCAGGGGTTCTACCAAAGTCGCTTTGTAAGATTAAGCTGGCATTTCCCAGGAGTTTAGTTAAGCCTCACTGGTCAGGCCCATCCAACAAGGTCACCCCAGAAAAGGTGGGCCTGGGAGCTCTGGAGTCAAAGTCAGGGTCAGGGGAAGGTTCCCGGGACTAAGCAGTCCAGGGCAAGAGGACTTGCCCTTCAGGAAGGAGGACACCCTCTCTCACCCCATGGTCTCAGCAAGAGATCAGAATTGTATCAGTTCTGCAGAGAAGATGCCATCATCTATCCATTTGCATGGAAATTCATTCCTGGGTGACACAAATGCCCTCCAATAAACTCATTCCAATGCCTGGGTGATGCTTAGATGGAAAATCAAAGTCAACACACTGACAACACTCAGGAGTTTAGATTTCCACGATGAAATCCAGAGTCACACAATTTCACTCATTCCATTATTCATGATGTGGGGATGGGTACTGTTGGGACTCTCTGCTAAGTAGACATCCCCGGGGAGAGGAGCCATTTCATTTTGCAGCTGCAGGTGGAAAGTGGGGCATGCCAAGGGAATGCTTTTTGTATGAGCCTGTGTTACAGTGTTGGCTGTTTGGTGAAAGGAAAAGGCTGACCATTCTAGGTGAGTGTCATCTTTCTCCTCCTTCCCTGCTCTCTTTAGGGTTTGGGTCAATTTTATACTATTTCTTGTTTTCTCTCTATCTTGTGTCAGCCTGTGGTCAAGCATTCTTCCTGATCTCAAACCCTAGGGAAAGAATCTCTCTCCACCCTTTTCAGATACCTTCTTGCCTCAACTGGTCTCCACAGGCTTCCACCTTTGACCCTAGAGGCTGGGATGGAAAGGTTGAACTGCTGAGACTACTCCTCTGTCTCTCTGTCTCTTTGTATGTATGTATGTATGTATGTATGTATGTATGTATGTATGCCTGGCTGACAGGGAGGGGGTCATTGGGTCTCCAGGATTTGCTCTGTCTGGTTCTCCCCATCTGGGCCCTTTCTGCTTGTTTCACCTTATGAATGAAAACTGAAGACCTATCTTATGGGAAGAGGGAGAAAGGGAATTGAAGGAGTGACTGCTTGGGAGAATTTATTGGGTCTTGTACTGTCAGTGTCATAGCTGGGGAACCACAGATCTGAGGTTCATGGCCAAGTCCCCTGAGTTGAGGGACTTTGGAGCCAGGACAGAAACAAGGTAGGAGATAGAAGGGCCTCCCCAGATTTCCATGGGCTGCTACAGAGAAAGCCCTGAGCTGCCTTGTACTCAGAAAACCCAGCCAGAAGGGAGGACGGATAGGAAGGCTGTTAACACAAGGGAGTCACTACAGAAGTCATCTATGGGTGTGGAATTCAGGAAGGCGGGTTACTGAGTCTCTGCATGACATACCCCAAAAGCAGGATGCCCTGAGTTTACTGATCCCAAGGCACTATCCCAAGATCAAAGACATAAATGCCACCAATCAGTCCTTAAACTCTTAACATGAACTCCAACAACTAAAGATTAGATAGGCAGATAGACTTACTCAGATGACCAAAGATTCTACTGCAGAGACTCCAGGGAAGAAAGAATTGAGTAAAAACAGAGCCCTCGGGTTAGACCAAAGGTGTGCACAGCAGACATGTTGGGTAAGAAAAGCCCCCAGAATGAATCAACAGGAGACTCAGAGAACTTAGGGGAAGACACACAGCTCCAGATAGACCGAGTCAGCATGTCAAGAGGAGGCAGGAGGAAGCAGCTGAGGGCCCACTATCTGTGCAGGAGGCCAAATTCTAAATTGTCTCAAAATAGGTCATGGGAGGCAGCCAACAGTGTTCTTAGAACTGACAGAGTGTGGTTTTAGGATACCTGACCCACTGTCTTGGAGACACTTTGTACCATATGAAGGGTCTTGAACTGGCACAGAGGGCCAGAACCACCTTACACACAGAATCCAAAGCTTTCCATGTGGAACCCAAGACTCTGAACTCCTTTTCTTCGCTGACCTTCATAGGTCAACCCAAGACCGCCTCCTCAGTCACTCTGTTCCTGTCATCCTCTGAGGAGCTCCTAACCAACAAAGCCTCAATGACATGTCTCATGAGCGACTTCTAGCCGGGCGAGGAAGGCAGATGGCTCACCCATCACCAGGGTGTGCAGACCACCAAACCCTCCAAACAGAGCAACAACAGGTATGCGGCCAGCATCTACCTGACCATGACCCCTGACCAATATAGAGCTCACTGCAGATTGAGTTGTGAAGTCTCCCATGAAGAACACAAAGTGGAGAAGACAGTGGTCCCTGCACAGTATTTTTAGGCCTTGGTCCTCCTCCAACCCAAAGAAGCCTAGAGCTTGGGAACCCAGTGGGATGGTTTTCAGACATGCCAGATTGTCTGTCTTTCTCTCTTCACTCAATAACTCTCAATAAATATCATCATTGTCAATCAGAAATTCGAGTCTTTTCTCATTTTTGTTTATATACTTTGTGTTCTACATTTAACCATATTCAAAGGTGAACAGTATATTTTGATCTGGGGATAAAGCATCCATGAAAAGCACCTTGATGTTTCTCTGACGGATACTTTTACTGTTATTCGACAACCACTGAATGTTCCAGAACAAGGGAAAGACCATCAGAAGGACCTGCATGCCCATCCTTTCCCACCTCACCCTTGTGCTTCCTGCAGTACTGTGTACACGTCCACCTCTGGACACTAAGGGACAAACACTCCTTCCATTTCCCTGGCCCCCAGAAGAATGGCTGAGTTCCCTTTCCTGTCATCTTGGGCCCTCACAGTGGGCATCGTCTTTCATTCAAGGTGTGCTTCCATCTCTTCCTCCAAGGCTATATACTTCCACACTGATAAATCTCCCCCAATCAAAACCTTGAGCACTGCCCTTACCATAGGGGTACACACTTCCTATGTTTCCCCATGGTTTCTGCCTTTTCCTCCACAGACCCTATGACTAGCCAACACTGACATGACCTCACCCTAGACCCTGGTCACTCACCCTTAGAACCACCTGGGAGACTATTGATTCACACGGCAATGTGTGGGCCAGCGGTATTCAAGGACACTAGTAGACAGCAATCAGCTGTACTCTCCACTGACTTCACCACAAGGATATAATGTCCTAGTGGCTGCAGATTGCCACCAAACTGATAAGTTCAAATTCAGTTGGCAGTTTCTGGGCTTCTACCATGAGCTTAGGTATCAGCTGGTTCCTCCACTCTAAGAGATCAGAGGGAGAGCTGATTGATAACACACATACACAACATAGTCAAACAAATCACCAGCATATACATGTTGGGCATCTCCCTGGGAAGATCAAGAAGGGTCCAGAGGAAGCAAGTCAGTGAGACACAGGTTAGGACACAAACAAAGAGAATCCAAGCATTTGTAAACAATGAGTTTGGGCCTGGAATCGGTCCTGACATGGGATAGCAGCAGGATTTTCAGTCTGGGCCAAGAGTGGAACAGGAGACAAGTGGAGCCTGAAAGAAAGGATTCTGGAAAAAGAGGAGCAGACAGATCCCAGAGGTCAGCAGAAGCACCCTCTGTGTGGGACACGGACGAATAGGGCAGGGTGAGAGATGTGTATCACAAGTGTCAACTCTGCAGGTGTTGAACCCAGACAAGGATGGACACCCAAGCCCTGCTCTGAAATGCCCATCCAGGGTTAAGTGCCGTGAGTGACCCTGGGCTGTGGTGTACTGTCCTGGTGACACTTGTGAGCACAGGAGGCTGTGGAGTACCTATGGACAAGGGCACCTGTGTGTAATGGAAGGAGCTGCCCGGGACAGCAGAGACTCAAGCAAAAACTTTTGTTGGATTCATGGAGGAAAATGTACTGATAGTGGGACCCAAGATCTCTCTGCCACTATGTGAAGTTCCTTGTGGAATATTCCAGCTCTAATCTAGCACTCCCAGCATGCAGGGCGTCAGCAGCTGAATAGTTTCTGGAGGGAAACATGAGCAGTAACCACACACTGCATCTTCATGACAGTTGAGTGTAGGATGGGATCACTCACACCCAGAGCTTGTATTGGGATCTGCGTCTGTGGGGTCCAAGTAATTCTATCCATACTTCTGTAATTCCCATTCCAACATGACCTCCATTGTGGAGGATATGGGGGCATCAAGGATCCTCTTCACAATTCCCAGATCCTCAAAGCTTTTCCAGCCTCCTCATCCCGGTATTTTAACTTCTCTCACACTCTCCTCTGTGACAATCAGACACCTGCTGACCCAGGCCATGCAGTCCCCTCCCAGGAATGCAGGGAGCTGGAAAACGAATTACACACACATCTGTCAACCATTTGTGTGATGGTAGTCAATGAATTTTTAAGTACTGAAGACAGAGATGGTCAGGTCTGTGAGTGATGACCCATTCACGAACCCCAGATTCCACCTGGCTATTTGAAAAAGTAGCTGGATTCGGGGCCTCCTAAGCAGCTGCAGAGGAAATGAGTGGGGTGTCATGTCAGAAGGGTTTTTGTTCAGGGCTGAATGATGGTGTTATGTGTCTGCCAGAGGCACTAGGATGACCATTCTCAGAGTGTCTCACCTTTCTTTTTGAATTCAGTGTGAAATTGGGGAAAATGTTTTTCTCTTTTCTGTTATGTCTAGGGCAAGGGTCGGAATTTTTCTGGGTTCTGCAACCCTAATTCTTTGAACCTGTCTAATCTTTTCAGACATGTGGTCAGGACAAGAAAAGATCATCCCAGTGATACCTTCTTGCTCCCTGCACAGGGAAACCCACTATCTATCGCTCTCTCTTTGGGAGACATTCTCCTCTGGGCACAGGGATGTTAAACACCTACCCTCAGAGTCTCCAGGCCCCAAGAAATGAGCAGAACAAGGGGCTTTGTATGGTACACAAGGGCCATGATCTTGTGAAGGATGCTGGAGACATCTAAGCCTCTTCGAGTCAGTCCTCTGTGGGTGTCTGCTATAGGGTGGCTTTATGCAGCATTAGGAGAGGCCTTTGACTGGAGAAATGGAGAAATGGAGGTGAAAATGAGAGGGGGACAGAGATGAAGGAAGAATGTCCTGTGAAAAGTGATCCCAGAAGCTGGGTCCCTCCTTTTCCCCAGGACAGTTAGGTAGACTTTGACAGTGTGGGTCAGAACTCTCAGGCACAAAGGGTAGCACATCACATACCAACTATAAGGAGTGACCCAAAAGCCGATGCTGAGGTAAGGGACTCCTGACAGGTATAGGTGAGAGGGAACTCGCCAGGTAGAAAAATGTACTAGCACAGGTAGATTCCCAGTATAATTTATGATAAAAAAACAACTAGGAACCAGCACAGGACCAGCCTCCAAACACGGAATATTTTATAGATGGAAGCCCACAATTTCATGGACTCCCCAGGAACAGGCCTCAGCTTTATACCCCTGCACAGAAGGGGTCTTTGTGGATAGATGGAGTGGGATTTGCAGTGGGGGTACCAGGGGACATAGGCAACATATCCCCTCACCTAATGGGAGCAAATTCTGAAGACAAAACAGATTAACACCATTCTGAACAGACCCAAAGGAGTGCTCCCAATGGAGAAAATCAGGCAGAGAATTTCCTTTAGGAAATTTGGGTCCCAGGGCTTAGACAAGCCAGTATCAGAAGAGCACAGTAGTAGTTGGGAACCTGTAGGAGAAGCTCAGCCAGAAGAGACTTGACTTTCCTCTGTCCTTGGGCCTTCTGGCTCTTCTGTCAGAAGGAGAGTATCCCCACCCTCCTGTAGCAAGTTTCCTGACCTTGCCAGTACCCAACTCAAGATTGAAGAATGGAGACCCAGGTGGACATAAGGCATCTAAACTCCTGCCCCTACCAACCCTGGAGGTCAGCCCCTAGGTGCCCTCTAGTTCACTCTGTTTATGCAATAATCTGAGGTGATTCAAATCAGCAAGGTCTCACTGGTGTGTCTAATGAACAACTTCTATCAGGCACCATAGTTGTGACCTGTAAGGTAGACAGCACCCCTATCACTCACAGCGTGGAGACCACCCAACCCTCAAAACTGCAACAAAAAGTATGCAGCCAGCAGCTACCTAACCATGACACCTAACCTGAATAAGTCTAGAAGTAGCCACAGCTGCCAGGTCACACACAATGGGAGCACCATTGAGAAGATAGTTGCCCCTGAGCAGAGTCTTTGGCCCTGGCCTTCCCCCAACCCATGGAATCTTAGACCTTGGAAGACTAGGGGAAGGGTCCCCCTCCATGCCATGTCATCAACCCTTCTCTCTGCACCCAATAAACCCTCAATAAATATCTTCATTGTCAATCAGAAGTTCTAGTCTTTGCTCATTTTTGTTTACACATTTTCCATTCTGCATTTAACCATTCTCAAAACTGAAAGGAACCCTTTGATCTAGTTACAAAGCATCCAGGAAAAACACCCAGATAATTCTCTGAGGGATACTTTCTGTCCCCTTACCCCCACTGAATGTTCCAGAGAATATTTCCAGGGAAAGACCGTCAGAAGGACCCATTCCTGCCCATTCTTTCCCACTTCACCCTGTGCTTCCTGAGACACTGTGCAAAAGTTCCCATGTGGATACAGGAGGACAAACATTCCCTCCACCCCAGTGGCCCCAGAATAATGTCTGAGTTTTCTTCACAGTTATCCTGAGTACTCAGAGTCGACATGATCCTTCTTTCAAGGTGTCCTTCCATCTCCCCCTCCAAGGCTAAACACATTTCTACACTTATATTTCTCTCCCCATCAAAATTTATAGTTCCACCCTTTCAAAAGGGACCTGCCCTGTACCTGTCTCCTCATGACCCCTGACCTCTGCCCCCACAAGCCCTCCTTGTGGTTCTCAATGATTGAAACTCACACCTGGACCCTGATAACACTCCATAAAATCCCTTTGAAGCATATTGTTATACGTATCACTAAGTGGACTAGCTATATTAAAGGACACTGGGGGACAGCAATCAACTCTGTTCTTCACTAATTCCTTCACAAGGACTTAATATCCCAGTGACCACAAGTTCCCCACAGGCTGATGAGTTCAAAGTCAGTGACAAGTTTCGCAGTTCTACCTTGGGAGTCAGCTGACTCCTGCTCTTAAGAAAGCATTGGGGGTCTGACCTTTAACACCCATACACACACAAATCTCCTGTGCACACGAACATTTTGGTTGGCAGTCTTCCAGGGTAGATCAGGAAGGGCTCAGGTGGAAGGCAGTGTAGTAAGACTCAGGTTGGGACAGGAGCCAAGAGAATCCAGGGATCTGCAGTCCCTGAGCTTTGGACCTGTGGGGCAGGCCTTGACATGGAGGAGGGACAGGATTATTTGTTCTGGCTGAGAATGAGACAAAAGACAGGAGGAGCCTTAAAAACAAGCAACAGGCAGATCTCAGACGTTAGTGGAGACACCTCCTGTGGGGGACACTGTTTTGAGGGCAGGGTGGCAGGCGTGTGTCACAGGTGTGAGTTCTGCAGGTGATGAGCACAGACCAGGATGGACACCTAGGAATGTGTGTTCAAGAACTGCTCTGAACAATTCCATCTGGTGTATGGCACCATGTGTGTTCCCAGGCTATTATCTACTCAGTCCTGGTGACACTTGTGAACATGGAGGAAGTGAAGCATCCATGAACATGAGTGCCTTTTTATAACAGAAGGAGCTTGAGGGGAAAGAAGGGACCTCTAAACTCGTAGAGTTCCTGGAAGAAACTGTACTGGCAGTGGAACCCATGGCCCCTTCTACCACATGAGAAGCTCCATTTGGGACATTCCAGCACTAATCCAGCACACCCATGCTCCAGGGATGCTGTTGCTTGTGGACTCTGGAAGGGAACATGAGGGGTGATCATACACTGTATCTTCACGACAGTGGAGCTTAGGATGGGGGTGCTCAAACTCAGAACTTGCAGTGGGATCAGTATCCCTGGGTCAATGTAACTTTCCCAACACCCCGCAATTCATATTCCAAGCTCTTCCTGTCATCACTTCCAGTGGATGATAAGGGGGCATCCAGGACCCTCTCCAGAATTCACAGCTCCTCAAATAGGTCCCACATTAATCATCCCTGTGTTGTAACTTCTCTTACCTCTTCTTCCGTGGTATTTGGACACCAACTGACCCAGGCCATGCAGCCCCATCCCAGGAATGCTGTGAGTTTGGAAAGGTTCTACACACCTCTCAAGCCTTATCATGTTGGGGATAAATGAATTTCTAAATCCTGGAGAAAGAAATGGCCTGGTGTGTGGAAGGTGACCCATTCAAACGCCCCTGATCCAACAGCCCATGTTAAAAGGATGCTGAACCCTGGGCCTCACAAGCAGCTGCTGGCTGACTGGCTGGGGTCTCAGGAGGCTTTTTGTATGGGGCTGAATCACTGTGTGATTTGTTTGGCGGTGGCACCCGGTTGACCGTCCTTGGTGAGTCTTCACTTTCTATTTTCATTGGGGATTCGGGATGAAATTTTGTGGAAATGTTTTTCTCCTTTCCTTTCTTTCTACAGCAAGGTCTGACTCTCTCAGGGTTCTGCAACTCTAACCCTTCCAGCCTGCTCACAAGATAGCTCTCTCTCTCTGTCTCTCTCTCTCTCTCTCTCTCTGTCTGTCTCTCTCATTCTCTCTTTCTTAGACCTTCTCCTTTGGACTCTTGGGATGTTCTACACTCTCCCTCATAGTATCTGGGCCCCCAGAGACCAGTGGAACAGGGGGCTGCTGTGGGAGCACCAGGAACCTGAATTTGCGAATGATGCTGGGGACAGCTCAGCCTTCCTGGGTTCTTTCCTCTGTGGGTTCTAGCTATGGGGAGACTTTACACAATGTGAGAAGAGGACTTTGGAGACATGAAAAGATGGAGGGAGAAATGGGAGTGTGAGAGAGATGGAGGAATAATATTGCATGAGAAGGTGACCCCGGGATTTTGGGTTCGCCCTCTCCCAGGAAAGCCTCGTAGCTTTTGACAGTGTAACTCTCAGGACTCTAAGGCACAAAGGTTGGCATATCAGCACCTCAACAAAGAGGAAGGACACCAAAGCAGATCCTGAAGGCAGAGTCTTCTGATAGGAAAGTTGACAGGGACTTTCCAGGTACAAAAGTGTCCTAGGACAGTTAGATCCCATGATTAACTTCTGATAAGGAGACAGACTGACAATCCTAGGTGAGTGTCCTGTTTGTCTTCTTAACCTGCTTTCTCCCTGCCTTTGGGTTTGTGTCAATTATCTACTTTTTGTTGTTTCCTCTGTATCTTGTGTCAGCCTGTGCTCAAGCATTCTTCTGTCAGCCTGACCTCAAACCCTAGGGCAAGAATCTCTCCCCACCATGTTCAGATACATTCTTGCCTCAGATGGTAACTACAGTCATTCACCTTTGACCCCAGAGACAGAGAGAGGAGAGGGAGAACTGCAGAGAGTGCACCTATGTCTCTGTGTCTTTGTTTGTATGTATGAATGTATTATGTATGTATGCCTGGGTGACAGAGGGTCATTGGGTCTCCAGGATTTGCTCTGTCTGGTACTCCCCATCCTGGTGCTGTCTGCCTGGGTCACACTGTGAAGGGAAACAGATGACCCATATTATGGAAGAGGGAGCAAGTGAATTGAAGGTGTGAACACTTGGGAGACTTTATTGGACCCTGAACTTTGAATGCCACAGCTGTGAGCCACATGTCAGAGGCTCATGGCCATGTACCCTGGGCTGAGGGACTTTGGATCCAGGACAGAAACAAGGTAGGAGGTGGAAGGACTTTCCCAGAATACCATGGGCTGTCACAGAGAAAGTCCTGAGTTGGCCTTGTACTCAGGAAACCCAACCAGGGGGGAAGAAGAGGAAGGTTCTGAACACAAGGAAGTCAGCAGACCAGTTACCTGAGGATGTAGAATTCAGGAAGGTGGGCTACAGGGTCTCTGCAAGATATACCCCAAGAAGCAGTATTCCCTGAGTTTACTGATCCCAAGACATGATCCAAGAACAAAGGCATAAATGTCACTGATCAGTTCATAGACAGAGGGACTCTTAACATGAACTCCAACAACTAAAGACCACAACAGGCAGATAGACTCACAAGAAGATCAAAGGCCCTACATCAGAGGGTCCAGGGGGAAAAAATTGAGTAAAAACGTAGCCCTTAGGTTAGACCCAGATAGTGCAGAGCAGACATGTAGTACAAGAAAAGCCCCCAGAGTGAATCTAACTAGAGACTCAGAGAGCACAGGGGACAGACAGATAGCTCCAGATAGATCAGATCAGAAAGTCAGGAGGAGGCCGAAGGAGGTATCTGAAGGCCCACTGATTAGCAGCAGGTCAAGCCTAGAGGGCTCAAAATAGGTCATGGGCAGGTTGGCTCCGGGGTTCTTAGAACTAACAAAGAGTGTTTTTATGAAAACCTGACCAAGTGTCCAAGAGACACATTAGCCATATGTAGGGTCTTGAATTGGCATAGATGGCCAGAACACTTTTCACACACAGAGGCTATGGCTTCCCATGAGAAAATCAAGACAATGAAATCCTTTTCTTCCTTGACACTCACAGGTCAACCCAAGGCCTCCCCCTCAGTCACTCTGTTCACGCCGTCCCCTGAGGAGCTCCAAACCAACAAAGCCACACTGGTGTGTCTCATCAATGACTTTTACCCAAGTGTATTGACAGTGAACTGGAAGGCAAACGGATCCCCCGTCACTCAGGGTGTGGAGACCACCATGCCCTCAAAACAGAGCAACAACAAGTATGCTGCCAGTAGCTATCTGAGCTTATCACCTGAAGAGTGGAGACGTCAGGGTTCATACACCTGCCAAGTCACGCATGAAGGAAGCACCACGGAGAAGACAGTGGTCCCTGCACAGTGTTCTTAGGTCCTGGACCTCCCCCATCCCAGGGAGTTTAGAGCTTGGGAGCCCAGGGGAAGATCTTCCTCCATGCCACGTTGTCCGCCTTACTCCCTGCACTCAATCACCCTCAATAAATATCCTCACTGTCAAGCAGAAACTCAAGTCTTTGCTCATTTTTGTTTATATACTTTCCATTCTACATTTAACCATATACAAACATGAACAGAATCCTTTGATCTGGGGACAAAGCAGCCATGAAAAGCACTCCTGATATTTCTCTGAAGGATACTTTTACTGTCTTTGACAACCACTGTATATTCCAGAGCAAAGCAAAAACCATCAGGAGGACCCAGGCCTGCCCGTTTTTCCCACGCTCCCCTGTTCTTCCTGCAGCACTGTGCAAAAGTCCACCTCGGGGTACTAGGGGACAAACACCTCTTCCAGTCCCCAGGTCTCCAGGTGAATGACTTAACTCCCATGCCTGATATCCTGGGCCCTCACAATGTGCACTGTCTTTCGTTTGAGATGTCCTTCCATTTCCTGCTCAAAGGCCATACACTTCCTCACTTGTAAATCTCCCCCTATCAAAACTTGAGTACTGCCCTCACTGTAGGGGAACACCCTGCTTCTGTTTCCCCATGCTTTCTGCATTTTGTCCCCACAGGCCCTCCCTCTAACCCTCACTCACAGGACCTCACACCTGGACTCTGATCACTCACCCTACAATCCCCCTGGGAGTCTAATGTTTCTCATGACACTGGGTGGCACAGCTGTATTCAAGGACACTAGAGGAGGGACCCCAGAGTAGACACTGAGGGAGAGTTTCCTGATAGGTAAAGTGATAGGGACCATTCTGGGTTGAAATATGCCCTAGGACAGCCACATCCCTGGATTAACTTCTGATAAGGAGACATCTTGGAACAAACTCAGACCCAGGCTACCAAAGAAAATATGTCACACATGAAAGCCGTTTTCTCCAGGACTACCTAAAACAGGCTTCAGGTTGACATCCCCTGCTTACCAAGGGGTCTCTGTGGGTAAATAGGGTAATGCCTACTGTGGAGTACCAGGGTGTATGTGGAAAACTAACCCACTTCCTCAAAGGAGAAAATTCTGAAACAGGACAGACAGACACCTTCCTGAAAGCTCCAGTGGAATGCCCCCAAAAGTAATGTTCAGAGAAACATTCCCTGAGGAGAGCTAGATCCAGGGCTTAGACCAGTCAGTATCAGCAGAGCACAGGTGGGTAATGAGGAGGTGGGAAACTGTAGGAAAAGCTCCAGTCAAAAGAGACCCGACTCTTCCTGAGTCCTGAGGCTCTATTCCTTCTTCTCTCATAAAGTGAATATCCCCACCATCCGCTGAACTGACCTCAGTCTAGCAAGGCCTGGACTGGGCTGTACCCACATCAAGACTGAGGTCAAAAACTCCAGATAGACACAAGGCTTCTGACTTTCAGCCCCTTCTCTACCCCACAGCTCAGCTCAAGGCCACCCTCACAATCCCTCTGTTCATACTATCACTAGAGAGTTGCAAACCACTAAGGCCACACTGGTGTGTCTCATAAGTGACTTACATGGGTACCGTGACTGTAATCTGGAAAGCAGACAACACCCTTGTCACCCATGGCATGGAGATCACCAGTCCTTCAAACAGAGCAACAAGAATTATGCGGCCCCCAACTACCTGTCCCTGACATCCTATGAATGGAAATCCAGAAGCAGATACAGCTGCCAGGTCACAAACAAAGGGAGCTCCCTGGAGAAGACAGTAGCCCTTGCACTTGTTCAAAGGACCCAGACCTCTCCACTCAGCCCCCAGGGGTCTAGAGCTTGGGATCCCAGGAAAAGAATCTCCCCTCATGCAAAGTTGTCCAGCCTTCTCCCTGCACATATTAAACCCTCAGTAAATATCAGTACTGGCAATCAGATAACCTGGTCTTGTCATTGGTTTTCTCATTTTCTATCCGAATTGGACAAACCTGAAAGATGAATAGACTCCGTTCAGCCCTGTGGGAAAAGAGACCTGGGAAGGACTTCGATAGTTTTGAGGAGGTAACTTCACTAACACTCTGAAAGACCAGAGAATATATCACAACAGAGCACCGGGGCAGCAGTATCCAGGGTTGCCTGACTTCCCATACGTGCTGTTCTTGTGTGTACATGTCCACGTCCTGCTGCATGAGATGACATCTGTTGAGTCCCCATGGACTCTAGGTTAACAGACTTTCTACCTATAATCTCAGGGCTCTCACTCTAGACAGTGTACCCTTCTCAAAATATCCCACCCTCTCAAGAATAAGCCTCTCAAGTCCATGGGCTTTTGGTCTCTCTCCCTCCTACGAAGTCAATCCTGTTTCTTCTTTTCAGGACCCAATACTCTGTCACTGAAAGCCCTCCCAGAGCAGGCACTGACTGGACCCTCATCTGTACCTTGGACACATCCTACATACCACAACCAGGATGCGCCTACTCCACATGAGTCAAAAGTGTCTCAGTTGTAGTCTAGGACCCAGGGGAGCAAAGTTCAGCTCTGCTCTTCCTGCATCCCTTAGTAGTCAGTCCACAACTGACCTCACACTCAGTACCTAATGTCCAGTGGTCTATCGAGGTCAGAAGGGCTGGGGATATGAAAGTAAAGAATTAGATTCTGGGCTGATCCCATAGACAATCCTGGAAACCCATTCCAATTTTTGGAGCTCTGTGTGGGGAACCCATGAACCCAGGAAATGACTATACTTGAAATAGTACAGCCTGGGAGGACTGAGCTTAGAGATAAACCCACATAAACATACAACAGGCATTCACAAGCAAAAACATGCATACACACATGACACATGAATTCACACAGACTGGGTACACACACACATGAATTCAAGAATTTAAACATGCACGACCACAGCATACACATGTCCTCACAAACATAAAATGTCTTCCTACATGTGCTTGCTATATATAACCATTGCCATGGAGGGCATCCCTCCAGGGATCGTGCTGGGCATGCAGGAGCTTCCGGGACCTCAGCTCTTCACAGGTGCCAGCTCCATCTTCCCTGTGACATAAGCAGTTTTTTCATTTCCTCCAATGTGACATTCCCATTGAGCTGAGCCTGGACCTACAGCCGCTTCCAGGACAGAATGTAGTAGAGGCCCCAGATGAAATGTGCAGCTATGCCTCCTCTCCCTCCCCAGCCTTGGAAGAATGAACTTCTAGCCCCGGATAAAGAGTACTTCTTTCCAGGCTCGGTGTTTCAGCCTGTAATCCCGCACTTTGGGAGTCCAAGGTGAGTGGATTACCTGAGCCCGCGGGTTCGAGACCCGCCTGGGCAACTTGGCGAGACCTCATCTCTACAATAAATCAAAGATCAGCCGGGTGTGTTAGCGCGTGCCTGTCATTCTGGCTACTTGGAAGGCTGAGGCAGAAGGATCACCGGAGCCCAGCAGGTCGAGTTTGCGGTGGCTGGGACTGGCCACTGCACTCCAGTCTGTGCAATGGAGTGAAACTGCAACTCAAAAAAAAAAAGAGTACTTTTTGTGAGGAGGGACCACCTTCACAACCTCCATCTCTCGGAACTGCTCCATGACTAGGGGGCTGTCCTTAGAGCTCCTGAGCAACTGTTGGTGAGAGGGCCTGGGTGGGGTGTCAGGAGGGTTTGTGTGCATGACTGTGTCATAGTGTGCTGTTGGAAGATGAACCCTGCTGACCGTCCTCGGTAAGTCCCCCTTTCCCTCTTTGGAATTCCGAGTGAACTGTGGGGAGACATTTTTCTATTTTACGTCTCAGCTGAGCTAGGTCTAAGCCTGTTGGAGGTCTGTGCCTTTCCCCACACTTTTCCTGAACTCTCACCCATTCCACCCTGACTCTAACCTGGCCCCTCCTGGTCACAGTAGCAAGGGATTATACTACAGATTCCTTCCTGTCCACTGTTCAAGCTCACTGTGACCCCAAGCTTTCTCTCCAGGAAAATTCTTCCATGTTCTCTTAATGTCCACTCCCTCCTTCAGGATCTCTGGTCCCAGTGTCCTGGAGATATGGGAGTCAGGGGCACCAGGGCCATTGGATATGGGAAGGATTCTGGGAACAACTCAGTCTCCCGGGGTTCTGTCCTCCATGGGCACAGTTATGAGGCTGCTTTACACACTGTCATGGGAGGTCTTTGACTGGGGATTTGGAGAGATGAAGGAGGAAATGAGAAGGGAACAGGGATGGAGGAAGAATGCGCTATGTGAAGGTGGCCCCAGGGTGCAATGTCCCACCTCCTTTTCCAGGCAGGACACCATGGACACAGTTGGTCTCAGGACACATAGACCCTAAAGGTAGACCCTTATTAACTGCACCCCTGTAGGAAGACCAGAGCAGTTGCCCATGAAAGTGACTCCTTAAGAGACAGGGGACAAGTACAGTTGCCTATCACACAGAAAAAAGCTCACTGGAGAAACAGATGTTCTTGTAGAAAATCACATGGCAGGGGAACAACATAAAGTGGACACAAACACTGGTTAATAACTGGGGGTGGGGAAATGGCCTCAAATAGAAACCCTCAGCCTACTGGAATACCTGGAAGAGAATTCCAGGAACTGAAATGCCTGCCACCAGGCCACCCAGAGGGGTCCTTGTGGGGAGGCGGGGTAGGGGCTGCAATGATGATGGCAGGAGATGTGTGAGCAAGAAACCTCCTCCCTGTGAGAGAGGAGCCTGGACCTAAGACAGGCAAGCATTATAACAGACAAATGAGCACAGAAAAACTGACGGGAAATGTTCAGACAGGCACACCAGAACAGACACTCGAGGGAATTTGGGGTCCCATAGTAAGTTTCATCCAAGGTTGGGGGAACAGAGGTGGGGATTGGTGAGTAATGAGGAGGAATGATAAAGAAGCAGATCCAAGGATATCTGCAACTTTTTAGGAGTCAGGCACAAGGGAGTCTTCCACAGGAGGAAGCATTTCCCAACCCTCCATTGACCTGAATTCAGTCTAGCAAGGGCCCAACCTGAGGTCCCTTTTCTGAACCTTAGCCTTGTACTCACTTCAAGACTAACATCAGAAGCCCCATGGTAGACACCAGTCCTCTGACTTCCTGCCCACACCTTATCCCCACAGCTCAGCCCAAGGCTGCCCCCTCAGTCACTCTGTCACAGCTCTCCTCTAAAGAACTCT